AGGTATTGTAGACCGAAAATGTGAGAGGTTCAAGTTATCTTCTATGACAGAAGACCAGTTTAAATGGCTAGTATTTGTCTATAGCCTGCATTCACCCGAGGATGCTAACATCTGAACGAGAATTCTAAGCAAGCTCGAACATCGCCTCAGCATGACCCTACAGAGAGTAACTACCGAATACCAAACGTTAGTGAAGCTTGATACATCAGTGGTAGGTAGAGAACGGTAACCGGTTCCTTCACACTAACGCAGTCAAGAGAAGAGTCTTATGAAGTTCTAGCACGCAGAATTATCGTAATGGCAGTGGCAAATCATCATTCCCATGCAGGTTGTGGCGGTTCGCATATCAAAAGGTCTTGTCCGTCTGAAAATCATCGTTGTACTACGTGTTCCTGAAAATAGCACAAAGAAAGTCATTGTAACACCCGGAAATGCCGTCTACCGAAAGTACATTCTAAAAGATTCAAGCTGCGAACATCTAAAGTAGCTATTAACAGAACCAGCTCCCATAACCGTACGAAGTATGTTTCTCTCAAGATTAATGGGTATGATGCCCGCTTACAGTTAGACACCGATTCCGATATAACACTTATAAGCAGAAAAACGTGGGGGAAAAAAGGGCGACCGCGAATATATTTAACTCATCAATCAGGACATAGTGCATCCCAGGGAAATTCTAAACATTGCCGGTGAGATTCATAGTGAAGTCTCAGTCAAAGAGTCTACGGAGAAGGGAGTAATATTTATCACAGAACGTCCATCACTCGGCTTATTGGGGCTTGATTGGATAGCAAGGTTGAAGTTAACAGATTGCCCCATAAACTCGGTCTGTAATAACGTCAGTACGTAGAAAGTTGAGGAGAGAAACTCAGTTGAAATGTTATCGAAACGACATAACATGGTATTTGGTGAGGGTCTTGGAGAATGCACTAAATTTAAAGCTGCTCTTACCTTTCTCTAGGGATCAAAGCCTGTATTTCAACCTAAAAGACCTTTACCATATGCTGCCCTCTCAGTGGTCGAACATGAGCTCGAACGACTTCGTAAATTGATTGTCGTTGAACCGGTGAATTTCTCAGAATGGGCTGTACCGATAGTAGGGGTGAAGAAGACTAATGGTAGTGTCCGTTGATGTGCCGATTGCTCAACGGGCTAAATGAAGCCCTAGAAACTCACCAGTATCCATTACTCCTGCCTGAAGATCTTTTTGCTAAACTCAGTGGAGGTGAGCTCTTTACAAAGCTGAATTTGTCGGAAGCTTATTTACAAATTCCTGTTCCTGATGAATGTAAAAAGCTGCTCACCATAAACACACACAAGGGCCTATTTCGGTTTAACCGACTACCTTTCGGAGTCAAGACGGCCCCATCCGTATTTCAGCAAGTAATGGATGCTATGCTACAGGATGTTCCAGGTGCTGCAGCTTATCTGGATCATATAATTATTATGGGAGTAAATAGAATAGATTTAGAAAAGAAGCTCGACCAGGTGCTATCGCGAATAGCAGAATATGGACTTCGGCTCCGTCCAGAGAAATGTAACTTTTGTATGCAAAATGTACGCTACCTCGGATTTATAATCGACCAAGTCGGCAAAAGACTAGATCCAGAGAGTACCGAGGCAGTGAAAACTATGCCTAGACAGACGGGCGTCCCCCGCACTACGATCCTTTTTGGGACTAATTAGTCATTATGAAGCTTTTATTCCTAACCTTCGTCACTTACGTACTCCTTTGAATAACCTTGTGGCGAAGAATGTAAAACGGGATTAGTCTGCAAACTGCCAAGTTGCTTTCGAGGTAATCAAGAAAATACTAGTCTCGGATCTGTTGCTCACTCATTACGATCCATCTTTACCCATTGTATTAGCATCAGATGCTTCGAACTACGGCATAGGAGCAAATATTTCTCACATCATGCCAGATGGATCTGAGAAAGCCATATCACATGCGGCCAGATCGTCAACTACAGTCAGATCGAGAACGTAGGATTGTCGATTATCTTCGCTGTAAAGGCGTTTCACAAGATGATATTTGCACTCCAGTTCACTCTATTAATTGACCATAAACCATCGCTAGCCATTTTGGGTCGAAGAAAGTTATCCCGGTATACACAGCAAACAGACTGCAACGGTGGAAAACTACACTCTTGGGTTATGACTTCAAGATCAAGTACCAGCCCACTACTGATTTTGGACAAGCTGATATTTTGTCTAGACTGATTGGTTCACAAGTAAAACTGGAAGAAGATACGTTAGTGGCACCAACTGACACGGAAACAGAAGTGCATCAAGTATTGGAAGACACAGTCGGTGGTGTACCAGTTTCAAAATTATCAAAGAAGTCACGGGAATGACAAGATATTAAGAGAAGTTAGTGGTTACGTTCTCACCAAGTAGCCGAACCGTCTTTTTCGAAGAGAAGTGCTGCAGTATTTTCGCCGGCGGGACTCACTCATGATGGTTGATCCATGTGACAGAATTGTTGTTCCAAAAATATTATGCCACAAGGTTCTGAGACAATTCGACAGAAGTCATCCTGGCATCAATATGATGAAAGTGTTTGCTCGAAACTATGCTTACTAGCCTACAATGGATCAAAATATCGAAACCAGGTGCCACAATTGTTCGTTGTGCTTGCAAGCAGCTAAAAGTCAAAAGAAGTGTGTCACAACAATGGGAAAAACCTAATAGTCTCTGGGAGAGGCTGCACGCAGATTTTGCCAGCCTAATACGAGGAAGAATGTTTCTAGTCACAGTGGACGAACCCACAAAATGGCTACAAATCTATGTCATGGCTAATTGCACAACCAGTGAAACAGTCTACAAGTTATCTGAACTATTTATTTGCTTTGGAGTTCCGGAGACTAGTGACCGATAATGGCTCACAATTCACTGCAGAATCATTCAAGCCCTTCTGCAACATTAATGGAATTGTACATATACGCTCTCCATCCTATCACATTCAATCAAATGGATAGGCAGAGGGCTTCGTGGACACACTCAAAAGATCACTACTGAAAGGGGAAGGCGAGGAGACAAGCCAGGTAATTACGAAATTCTTAGCAATTTATAAAACTACGCCTAACCCTATCGTCCCAGATGGGAAGTCCCCTGCTGAAGCGATGTTCGTAAGAAGTATCCAATCTATATTCGACGCCATGTTGCCACTTAAACCAATGGATGTGCTCAGACAAGATCAGAATATCCGGAATTTTAACGTGGGTGGTAAAAGTAGTCGTCAAGTCATACATTAGAAAAAGTCTCTGGGAACCGGTAGTCATTAAAGAGAGAATGGGAAATGTTTTGTACAAAGTGCATGGGATTTTCGCAACGTGGATTAGACATATCAATCGTTTGCAATGGCGCAGGTGCATACACTCTTTGTGTTCTCCCAAATTTTGATCTCCTTATTCCTCCTTGTCTCTTTATTTTTCTCTTCCCAAATTTATTTCACTGGATTATACTCTTTAAATAACATCTCCAAACACTAATCTTCCCGATTACTGCTTATAATTTTACTACATCTACCACTACGGGATTTGAATCGACCACTACATCTCTGTGTTAATGTGGTGTAGCAACTCGAACTGCTGTGCGTACGTACGAAGTTCTACGTTGTTACTGACTGACTGACTGACATCAATCAAATACACAGAGAAAAAAGGATGCTAAACACTGTAGATAGTCGAAGAAGAAGACTTATCACTACCTGACAAAAGGTTCGAACATGTTTACAAGAAACCAGGAATAGCATTTCGTGAACTGAAATCATTAGTATTGGTGGCCCTCGCGCGTCGTAATAACTCAATGTGGCAGTTCCTACTGGAACTCATACCATTTCAGACAGCCTGGTTGGGCAGGAGTAATGCTTAAAGTAGCAGATCGAGGTCTTGTTACAGAGTGTACAGGAATCCGACGGCAATAAATCCTGTTCTTAAGACATTTACGAACTGCTATTACAAACCTGAAAGCGCTCTCTAAACTGCAGTTTTAAGCGTTTAGAGACCGAACCTTGTACCAAGTCGAACAATAAGATTTTTTGGCGAAGACTGTAATCTCTAGGCTTTTGATGTAAGCTATGTCACCGGGATACATATAGGTTCTATTTTGATCAATAGTGTGACAATCTAGCCAGTATAGGTACCGCCGTATACCCTTTCTACAACTTAAGACGCGATAACAACTTTCAGACTTGGCAGTATGTGTGAAAACACTAGACACTCCTTGATTTATTTCCTGTTGATGTTTGCTTGTATTTTGTTTGAATATACAGTATAATTAGAACTAAGTATTTAGTCGATTATATGAAAAAGGTTCATCTCAAAGAAGCTTGAAACGATACTCAAACAGATTTAAATGCAGTTATGATATCAGTCACAATCGAAAGATTAGGAAAGGTGATTGGATTTACGAAACTCCTACTTGATTAATGACTGCGCACGAATTTATCGGATTTCGAGAAAAATGAAGAGGGAAGACAAATTAAACGAAAACTAATGATCGTAAGGAGGAATCGCTAATGAAAGCAAGATAGATGGAAAAGACAATTGTGATAGGTAATACTGGACAACTATACCGACTCATCAAGAAAACGGCTTATAAAAAATCAATAGTTAGTGAGATTGAAGAAGATAGAACCATGATCTACTCTCAGTTCAAGAGATTATAACGATGAACAGAACACTAACGATCAGTTCAACGGAACTCCAGTTACCTATTATTTCCAAGCAACCAGAATGGGGAGTTGACACGTGCTGAAACGTCTAGCTAGGCTTAAAGAATTCGTATAGAGTTTGAAAAGACATAGCAGGATCCATTGGGTTTTAAAAATTTATTTTATTGAAGAGTACTTTAGTTTTAGCAGTTATGTTTCCTACTATATTTTCTAGAGTTTGGTAATCAAATGAATTCCATTGTACTTCTATGAGATCGAATTATTGCATTACATATTTCTTATGATCAATAGGTTATTGCTACATTTGTCATATTCATTATTATAGGCTAAGCTTTTGGAGAATTCAGCGAAAGGAGATCAAGATTGTGTTTTGTTATTGGATTCATCTGACGGTCGAGATCGTATTGCGATACATCTGGCAAATGCATTACTGATAGCTAATAAAAATCTATCAACTATCGACTCGTCAAGTCCTTCTGCTCCTACCTGGGTAGTATGGGTTCTACCCAAAACAGATAGTTCCTTAGCTAACTCGATTTCTGTATTTGGATCTCAGTAAGTGTGTTTCTAAAAGTATCTCAGTGTGAATTCCATAGTAATATTTTGAATGGTATTCTTATTTTGGAAAGATAGGTTTCTACAATTGGGAAAGTAAAACTATGAATCTTATAAAATTGTGAGATATTTTCTGCCTACTATAAATGTCAGCAAGTATTTCTTTAGTGTTGGTGGCTTAATGGTGACCCCCGAAATGCCGTGGTGCGGCCGAGGTTAAGAAGAGTTAGCTCCACCTCTCCAAATGCTCTCACATGGCCCGCGTTTACAGCCACTGCCAGGGAACTCCTACTCGGTGATGAGGTTGTTGATCACTAAGTTGAGAGTACACAAAGCGAATGTCCGGCGCTTTTACCGGGTTGACGGAGATTGAGGTTTTACCTGCATCTGTTTAAGCGCCCGGTCAGTATTATAACCTACACGCAGATCAAGTCACTTATGTAGACATATGAATTCGTTGCTTCTTATTACCAACATCTATGTGTTCAAATAAATAATAATAAATGTGTTAACTAGTTTTAACTCTGCTTAATGTCGAGAATGAAGGATTTTCTTCATTCCGAATCTTGTCTTTATAAATTTACTTCTGTGGTTCATAATTTTGTGTGCAGCGTGTTGTTGATGAAACCTTCTTTCTTACCTTTTGACGAATTATTTAGTTTGATTATTGTGCTTCTTGTGTCAGTACTTGGTGAAAACACTGATTGTATTCCTATTCCAATTTCTAATTTGAAGACTTAATTCTTACTACTCACACTAATCGATAACCCTGTTATGAAACTTGTAAATTGTTAAAGTTTTTCACTGTCTCTAATGTGGCTTACAGGTTATCCATGAATTAATTTTGGCCATAGATTCAGCAATCTCTCGATCTTTGTTCCGTTCTCCTATTCCATGTCATCTATGGTGCTTTTTTCCTTAGTATTATGTAACTCGTTCTTAGCGTTTTGATCCCATGTCAGGATGGTCAATTCCTTTTAACATTTGTCCGGGATAGGTTGCCGTATCACATAAAACATTGTCGTGTCATTTCAGTCAAGGTGATTTATAAGCGAATGTACGTAAATTTGTGTGTATGTGTGCAAGATCAGGGATGAAAAAATGTGACCTTTGTGGTGAGAAAGGATAGAGTTTAATTTGTATGTAGGATAATAATTTGAAATATGAATAATATCAGACATAATAGCTAGGATAGATAGTCCAAGTCGGATGTATAGTGATGCCTTCTTTTCTATTGAGCGCATTAGGATTAAGCATTATATAGAAAGCTTCAGCTACTCTCCTTTGTAGTTGGAAAAACGTTTTTGTAATATTTTGGTGTTTTTGAAATCGATTTGTTGGTTGTTAAAAATGGCATGAACTGCTATTGTCGATTTAATTTGAAGTTTATACAGCTCTACGAGATTATTAGGTGTTTTCTTCATGTACCTAATATATTTTTTGGCTCGAGTCAAGATTTCACGTGATTACTCTCCAATATAGAAGCCATCACAATCGACAGATCCTAATTTGTAGACTCAGTTCTGTGTTGACATAAATGGGAGTTTTTCTTTTGAGTAAACTAAAGTATTTCGAAGTGTGTTCATTGTTTTGTAATTTAATTTACTTCTGTGTTGTTTTAAAATTCTTTGGAGTTCTTCTGTTGTACCATGACGGTATGGTAAAACTGCAGTACCAATCCATAGTATTTCATTCGAATTATTATTAAGCAGTGAAACGTCTCGTTTTAATACATTTCTAATAATTTTCCTATGAAAATTATTAAATTTTAAGATGTTAATTACATTCTTTTGTTCTTTTTTGTTTATGGTCTTCAATTATGATAATCTCGTTAGCTCTTCTAAAAAGATTTAGGGCTAGTGAGATCTTTGCACTGTATGAATGTGCTAAATTTAAGTCAATATAACTATTTGAGTATGTACCTTCTCGGTAGATGGATAGATTTAGAATTACATTATTTAAATTCACCGAAACACCGTCAAATCAAAGAATTTAGAACAGGTCAAAGAAGAAAATATATGAAAGCGTCAGTAATAAAATCTAGTTCGCTTATAAATCACCTTGACTGAAATGACACGACATTGATTTGTTCTGACCTGTTTTGGATTGATCGCACATTATATTATTGCGTTGTTCCTTTGTGTTATTTAAACTTGGATTAATTTTGACTTGGTTATTTATTCTCTGAGGCAATGGCTTACAATGAGTCACGAAACGTCAGAAAATCTAATTTCTCTGCTCATTGGGATATTACAAATCTATTAATTTATTTAAAAGATTTATCAGTTATACAAGTTATAAATAACTACTATTTATTGATATGCGATGGAGAAGAAAGGGAATTAGTTTTTTCCACTATTTTTATTCTTAATACCACATCCCGATATTCAGTATCATTCAAATACAATGACAAAAGCCATTCGAATTTAATTCTCAAAACTTTGTGTGCTAAATATGTGTAGGTTCTTTCTCTATGACTATATTTTTCTAAAAATAATCGTACATTACTACCTTAGTTGTTATATTTTTGCGCAAGTTATTCACCTTTCATCACACTCTTAACTACTCCAATAAAGTCGCGGTCGATTATTTGATAAATTTGGCTAAAGTGATAAATAATGGATAAATAATACAGAATGATACGATGCCATCATCGGCTAATAACTTCATAGAAAATAATTACCGGCAACCTCTTTCTCTGAATGAACTAACATCGAAAGTTATGGGTTGTTAGCGAAATTAGTTTTCCCTTTATTAATATCGGATGCTTACTTACGAAATATTCAATAAAAATATATAATTATTTAGTAATCTTACTTATTTACACCTGTTACTCCTCGTCGATGAGGACAGGCCGCCCACCAGCACTCTCCATCCAACCCTGTCCTGACCAATCCTTTCCAGTTGCTATTTATCGTTTTCTTGTCTGCTTCCAATTCCCGACACAGTGTGTTCTTTAACCTTCCTCTTTTCTGTTTCCTTTGGGATTCCAGGTTAGCGCTTTCCTCATGATGCAGTTTGATGATTTCCATAATGTATGTTCTATCCACTTCCAGCGTCTTTTCCTGATTTCCTCTTCACTTAGAATTTGGTTTGTCCTCTCCTGCAGTACACTGTTCCTGATGGTATCCGGTCAACGTATATTGAGTATCTTGTGTTTACAACTATTTATAGATATTTGTACCTATTTGATGATGGTTGTAGTAGTAGTTCTCTACGTTTCTTCTCCGTACAGTAGGAATGTCTTGCTAAAAAAACGCCAACCAGATTAAATTAATAAGCGGTTGAGAAATATTAGTTTTGTAGATCACCTAGTTAGTAGGACTCTTTGTTTTCTTTTCTCACGTTACATTACCTATAGGAAAAGGTGACATCATCCACATGTGGCGTAGGAATAAATTTCGTTAGAACGACAGGATGAATAGCAGAAAAGATCAAAATAATATGGTAACAGGGATAATCATAAAGAATGAACATTAAGAATATGGTTCGAAAAAAAATTGGGGAGGTATTAACGAAGGAATACTGGATTTCAAGGTCACGAAGAAGATAAAGAGTGAATGCATCTTTGCTATTATGAGCTATATCACCCAAAGTCTTCAGCTACTGATCGTGGTTATCATATGCACTTCGAAATTGTCCATATTTATTCTAATTATAAATGTTGCCGTTTTATTTGAATTCATCATTGTAGTAGTACATTATTTAAATTTATTGCATAAAATATTTTCTATTCACTTATTTATATTTTAATTCATTCAATTGTATTTGAATAACATCAAGTAAATTCTACATTTTTATATGTTCATGTTGTATATTAAAGAAAATTTCACCAAGTTTTTATTTTCATTATAGATCAGATAATGACAATAATACATCTCAACGTCCTTTAAAAATTGCTCACTTACCTTGTGATGTAAAAAAATTAACACAAGTTGATTTGATACTTACAACCTCTGGTAGGATTTCTTAATTTGTTTTGTTTTTGTTACCATGATATTATATTATTGTAATAATAATAATAATAATAATAATAATAATAATAATAATAATAATAATAATAATAATAATAATAATAATACTGTTCAATAAATAGCTGTTGGCTCATAAATTCAACTTCGAGCCACACATTTTTGTATAAACTGGCCAGACATACTGTTTAGTTGTTCTCTCAATTAGAAAAGTAGATGATATTATGGTATTGTTATAATTCCTCTTATTTACGACCCAGTTATTTATGTTGCTTAGTATTCTTGGACACCAATTCACTCGACAAGTCCCCAAATCAGAACACGGTTGAACAGGAACGAAATTATATTTCAAATAACAAGGGTATGACTTCGCCCTTGGACTTTTGGTTTGCTACTTTTTGTCTTATCGCTCTTCAACAGACCTCTCTGGACCTTGAGGAACAATTGTCCCAGTATGTATGGCACTGTTGATTTATCATGATAGGCAAGCCTGACCACTCTGTCAAGGTAGCGGAAACGATCGGAATTGTCAGGTTAGGTAAACATTGTAATTTGTACGCGCTATCAAATAAGATATCTTATAATTGCCAACAAGTACAATTCCTTTTTTTCACAATATCAGCAAATATCTGATAAAAAGTTGAAAAAATAAAACTGATAAAAAGCTATTATTTATTATCTGTGACTACAAACTTCTAGATATTCATACATAGAAAATCCATATTTATGTTTTATTTCATCATACTATTTATTTACTTGAATAAATTTCAATCCGTATTAGAGATGTTAGTTAAGTGGAATTGTACAAAATACTTCCACAATTTAGAATCCAGTCAATGCTGAATTTATAATTATTCACGAGAGTACACTTGTCCTATTGATTTTGTCGAAACCACTCACTTCATATTCAATATTTGCAACAGTTGTTTCAAACTATACAAGGTCAATTATAGTTTCTTTACTCATACGGGTTTGGGTGAACGTCTGCATTTTAGTTTTTCGACTCGAGTCTAATTAGAGTGTGTAGTCGATGGAAACAGCCTTCACTCAATGCAAAAATTAGTATACTCGCTTTGTCTCATGTAAAACGGTACATCTAAAAGACACTTCTTAAGGTTGAACAAATCTAAGTGCGGTATAGAAATGACTCATGATAGAACTTTAATTGTGTAATATAGTACAATCCATCTCTTACAACCGTAGTTTTTCTCCAATCTTCATTATATATGGGATATATCACTATGATCGTGTTTGTTTATATAAAAAATGGGGGGGAAATGATATTGCGAATAAGCATTTATCAGTGCAAATACGAATCGAAACTCTTTCGGCGAAAACAGTCTATCTATCTAATTTCATATGTACAGCTAACGAGTAAAAATTTATAATAATCTTGTCCTACATGGAGCTCTACAGTTACTCTGTCACGAGTCTGACGTGATAAATATTGTGCATCGTGCAGCTGTTCCTCTGAGATATCACAGACAAACGCTGTAAAAAAAGGTAATCGATTCAGCTCATGAATGTGAAAAACTTCAGGCAGGTTATAATATAGATATAAAGCATCATTCATATCTCCCACTGTAAAACATGACATAAGGCAAGAGGTGTGTATTTATACAGTTTATACATAGCCTTCAATCTTCCACTTACATTTTACTGTGTGTTCTGACATCTGAACTGTCTTCTTGTGTGGTCTCCAAGTGTCTCGTCCCCACTGTGCTTTCCATGCACTGAAATTCTCCACTTCATTTGACAGTCGTCGCATATTCGACTTCACGTTCCGCTACATACTACTTTCAAATAACCTTGTCAGCAGCGTTCACCACGCCACTATCTACACGAAGGAACGTTTGTTCTAGAATGAATAATAACAAGCACTTCATAAAATTGAATCTAACCAGTTTGTGTGTGTAAAAGGAAGTTATTTATTTATTGAAGAATGCACAATTGTTTTATATACCTATGAAAGTATATATCCATGTTAAAGACTATATTTCGTTAAGAGGATGATTGTAATCGTTTTCTCCTCGTTAAGTAATGGACATCCTAACTTCCATAACACAAAAAGTTGTGATGCATTCAATTAAACAAAATATACTTAATAATAAATGAGTTGTATTGTTTTACATCCCTCTTCAACACAGATTTGTTTGTTGAGCACTTATCAATTCTACTAATGAAACAAGCGTTTATTTGTGGTATAATTATTCATGATGTCGATGTAGCGTTAAAAAATGAAGAGTTTTGCAAGCTTCTTTATCGTTATCTTCAAGATTACACAAACCAACATAATCGAGGCCGAGTAAGTTGACGAAAAATTACTTAATGATTATTTATTTTGTTTATTTCCCTTAAAAATTAATGATGTAGTTAACTGAATGATTCCGTAGATAATAATTTGCTGTTTCAGATACAGAATATTCACTTTCCCATTTTCATTGAGAAAAAAACTCACTGAAATGTGAATATATATTTAATTGATTAAAATATGATACAATTTAAACTCCATTCTATGGGAAAAAATCAGTCAGTTAGCTACAACGTAGGATCAGGCAGCATATGTGCATCTGTCCAAGTTGCCATACCTCATTAACACAAGATGGACACCGGATTCATAAAGGTAGTTGTGGTAATATATAAATGGAAGATTGCACAGGAAGAAATAATTAGTTCGTAGAAAGAAACATATGAAGCGATTTTAATCTCAGTTTAAGGGAAGACAGGGAGTGTATACACCGACGCCATTGTGATCGATTCTGTGCCATGTCACGCAGAGTCTCCAACCATTGGTTACGATAGTCACGCGGACCCAACCAAGTAGTCTGCATCTACCAACATGGCTCAGACTTGAAGTTAGTGATTTTTTATGGAAAAAAATACTCGGTGTTACTTTACATATATATTTGTATGTCAGCATAAACATCTGAAGAAAATGTTACCGCTGTAATTAATAGCCGATCAATTTAGAAGAAGAGTAGGTTATTTGCGATAATCTCTCATCAACTAGTATTCATTGTCAATCCATTATTATGCTAATCTGAGTCATCTAACAAGAAGAACAAATCAATTATGTTATTTCGAGTTAGCCGAATATTAGTAGTAATGAACGGCCAACAATCAAATTCGGAGTACATTATTCGTTACTAGTTGTCAGTTAATTCATCTATCTTTAATGGCTTTGTAATTTTTTTGCTCTCTATATATTTGTCTGTGTGAGTCGAATAATAGAAATTTGTATCATATATAGACATTATCTTTTCATTTCAATTATTACAGATCATATGTTTTGGTCAAATGAAAGTAGAGGAAGACAGCGTTTTTTCGTCGTTCACACAGTACGGTTAAAAAAAGGCACAAATTTTTAAACAAATGAAATATACATAGAAATGTTTAACAAATTATTTTAACCATAAGAGAATAAATATTTGAACAATATAGATCTGAACCTCTTTTCAATTTGCTATTATTTACAAACTATTATCATTAAACAGATACATACTAATTACATTTATTTTCCATTTTCTTTTTTACTTGTTTCCCGGAAAAAATAAAATTGTTAAATATCATTGTTTTCATTTTAATCATGTATAGATTTACTTTTTCTCTCATCTTATTTTAAGTGAATATTATCAAATTTTATATGTGGATTGAATCGCATATTTGTTTATCTGACATATTCCACTTCTGATTGGTGTTATATACTACTTATGTCGATATAAGTAGCATACTCCACAATAATAGTAGTAGTCTTTTGTCAAATGGATAAGGATCAATTATTGGTTGTTCACTGAGTAGACGTGAAAATGTGAAGAAGAAAATAGGTTTTGTAGTAGAAAAAAATTGGGAAGCATTCGATGACCGTGGTTGAATAAATATGAATCTGTATTGTTGAACTACTGAATTTTCAGTTGTGCATTTGATTATTTTTTGAACGCCTTGTAATATCGATTTATTTGGCTTGGTAGATGGTTCTGATAGAACTGTTTTACTCCAGTGATGACAAATTGTTGTAAAATTAAGTTACTGATATGCAATCTGTTAAAGTTAATACTTGAAGAGGTTGTTGAAAAAAGTAGTGTGAGGTATGATCTCTGCAAGCACAAGTAACATTATAAAAACGCATTTGAGCTTTCATGCAATTGGTTTCCTTTATGAATTTAAATAGAGCAAGAACAAACATTGATGCAGAATAGCATGAATTCATATTATTTCGAGGTCTCTCGTCAGTTGCTTACAAACCAAAATTGTGATAGAATTTTTACATGGAGATAGTGTGAAACAATTGACATAAATGAGTGTAAATAACTTGATTACAATAATAACTATATATATATGCTAGAAACAGGTCAGAGGTCAAAAGAGGGGGGTTAATCCAGGGTGGGTGGTGTAATAATTTAGTGAAGTTCATAAATTGTGTGATAATTGTAGAGATTGTAGAATTAAATAATGATAAGGTAGATTACGTAATAATAATTAAATAGGGTTTGGAAAGTTAAGATGATTTAAGAGGATCAGGTGGTGGAAATGTGTGAATAAAATTTATTTTAAAAAATTAGGTAATAGGGGAGGGTATAAATTATCTTGGAATAAGTAAAGGAATAAAATAACCAAAACACAAAACAAACAGATTACCAGGGTAGTGATAAGTTTATTAAAGTCTCTTTTGGATGCATAAGTCCGGTTTCAGTTTCTTAATTGCAATGGCTTCAGCAAAGCGGAGAGTGGTAGTAGTTCTTTGTCTATTGATAATTTTAAACGCGCGCATAATATCGACGGTATGCCCGGTGTCAAGTAGATGCCGAGCTATTGCACTGTTAAAAGCTTATTATGTAAATCTACAGATCAGGTACTGAATATGCGGTAATACGATAATTAGTTCATGGTTGTAAAATGCTAAGTGCCAACTATGATAAACGTAAAAATGTATAAAGAATAAATAAACAATTGATACTTTATCATAAATTGTTATTACTATCGATTTGTTACTTCATTATCTTTGGTTGTTCACTCATATTTACATCTTTATATTACAAATAACAATGCATACAGATATATTCACCAATGTATTTCGGAAGCATATATTATCTATGGCAGATTAAGAATACTGATTGCAAACAATTTTTAAAAAAGTGGTTAGGATTCTTCAGCAAACAATTGGAGTTAATATTGCGTCATACCAGTAGAATGTTCAGTACTATGACATAAATAATCATTAGTTTCCGCTCCCTTGAATAATTTTGTTCACTTGCAGTAATTTCATATTCATTGGTTTAGAAGATTCATATCCTGATGTAATTTTACTCATCTAACACCTAAATTACAGTAACCACTTGTGTACATGCTGCGAATATAGACCAGATAGAGGTAATAAGTTGCAGTAATAATTATTTGGCAACGGAACCTAACATATCGTTACGTTTATGCTTTCCGTTTAGATGGAACCTATAAAACAAACAACTAATACTTATTTTTTTGTAAAAGTGTTGCACTCACAACACGAATTTCATGGCAATGCCAGGTTGTTTCGCCTTCCTCAGTCGAGAAACTCTCGCAATGATTATTCTGTTCTTACATTTCTCCAAACGAGCAATAAGTAAAAGAAGCCTTTTAGGGATCGTGACAGGAGGATGTTATCTCAACAAATTTGGAAGAACTAAGTGGTGTGATCAACAACTTAGACGAAGGTGTTCAAGCTTACGAACTTTACAACGTGTGTTAACAGAACAGACGTTAACTTTTTATTTCAATATTGATTAAGGACTAAAAAATATATCCTAATGCAAATATGCAAGAGTCTATGATGACTGAACGTATGGTTTAGTTTTTCCGCACAGTATTGCCAATATTGTACATGTTGATGCAGAAGTCGTGAGAGTTTCATCCTGTAGGTAATCTATATTTTCTGGTCATTATCATTATGACGTAATTAGTCAAGTGAAAGTACAGTCAGAATGTTTGCTCATATTTAAGGAATACTAGTTTGCATTATGTCTTATAAACATAATTCGTAAATGATCAGTTTAACAATTCAATGAACTGATTGTGTTAGAGACTCAGTTGATAACACATAATACTAGTTTCTTGAAAGTTGCAACCTAGATCATTTCACATATTATACTCTTCATAGTATTCTACTTCTACATTATTAATTTATTGATCAATATTTGACCTTTTACTACATTTTATTGTTTATTATATGGTGTGACTAAAATATTTGGTTAGTATAGAGTTATCCATCAACACTGTGATTTCAACTCATTATGTATCGAAGTAGCTTAAGAAAATTTATTGTTAAACACCAGTGAAATGGTTTCCAGAAAATTTTTGAAAATATCTGACTTTAAAATCATAAGAATTTCACATCCAATCAAAATGCTTCTCGTGGAATTCAACTAATCAGACTTACAAACGATTAAATAGTTATTTTAGTTGGAAAAAGTGTGACCATAGATAAACTGAGCACATATTACAATAGCATTCAAACAGATCACAGTTTTTTTAATATATGTGGTCATACACTTAAAATTTATCCTTAGTGGTGCATAAACATCCACAATCAGTTTAATGTGAATCAGCCTATCAGATTAAACTGATCATCGAGTTGGTAATGTGATAACCTACACCCTTTGTACATTCATTTAATCGAAAAACAAGAGTATGTTTTACATTTATCATAAAAATAATCTCTTCAACCAAGCACACTAACTATCGTAAAATCTCCTATAAGTCCGCTGAGATTAATCTATGTACAATAGCTAGTGAGGTGACAAAAATGTCAATCTTATAAACTTTCTATTATTATGACTCAAAACTAACGATATAAATGGAGGTCATATTATTTACCTATGTAGACTTGACTCTTTTCTTATTGATTTACCTTCTGAAGAATCTTCATAAGATTCTTAGAAAGTAACACCAATCTGAAATGGAATGCCTGGTAACTGAAGGTTAAACTGAAGAAAACAGACAGGGAAGCATAAAGTAATTCAGAATTGCAAGAGTCATAAAGGATATAAAAGACAATTGATGGAGGATTTGTAAATGAAGTATTTAATGTATGGTCTTCACATTTTACGAGAGAACCCTGTAATGGCACAGTAGTTGTAGCTCCGTACAGTAGAACTATCTTGACGTTCGTATTAAAGATCCTCACTGTGATATTGATTGATAGTTGTTTTTAGTTCGATACATTTCTCAACTGTAAGAATCTTGGCCTTACTTTGCTAATTCGTAACTTCACATCTGTATCAGATCTCCTTGTTCCTCAAGGATGCTGACCACATACGTAAAAGTTTTGTACCGCTTTCGGAGCTTGCTCATCAAGTGCGAATTCGCTGGTGTTAACCGATGTTTACAGTTCATTCAACAACAAGAAGAGAAAGGTTGAAAGTAAGCGGCCTTGTCTGACACCAGTTCCCACTTGGAATGCATCTACCAGCTGTCCTCTATGAATGAATCTTCACTGTAGTCCATCGTGTAAGCTCCTCACGATATTGGCAATCTTCTAAGTTATTCTGTAGGGTCATGAAATATTACTTGGCCCTAGCCAAGTCGTTCGGTAATGGAGTCACTGAATGTCGATCAGTCTATCGATCCTCGTCAAAGCCAAAGACAACTGACGCGCACCAGTCAGTTCTACATCATGGCGTGGTCCATGCAACTGTAATCGCGATTCGTTCTTGTGTCTATTCTTACCAACAAATTTCTACCATGACGTTATGTTTTAGTTATACAGTCATCGAAGTGTAGTGACTCACATTTATCACGAGAACACGACTGGTTTAATAAAAACAATCATTATTATAACCAACTGTACCAGTGTTTGTTTTAATGTGCTTTTGTTTGACTGTGCTAATGACAGCTATTTTGTGCTTCCATTCTTTTACTTACACTTTGATAGTAACTTCGCGCGAATTCGGTTACGTCCTGTAACCAAGCTTGTATCCTGGCACGATCTCGGTATCCTTTCGATACCACGAGATCGCCAGCAAATATATATCTCGATTTGGTCCATTAATTGCCTTCTGATATTTGGCTTCTCGGAGATCTTATGGATTTATTTGGTTACGTTCAACCTTCGCCTTCTGATTAACTTGGCACGTGTTCCTTGGTAGCGGTGTTCATAGTTAATCTCACCCCGATCACACGCTACAAAAGTATCCATGGCGCCTGGATACGATGAAAGTGTAATCTACGTTAGATATTGTCTGTGAGGCATGACTTCAACAAAGGTGATTGGTCATGCCATTCTCATCCAACTCAAAGAGGCACCTAACCACCAACACAGATCGCCTACGTTGGCGATTTACAGCATTACAATGTGAAAGGGAATTCCATGAGTTTCTCCTATCCACGTTGTCAAATGCTTACTCACAGCCAAGGATGTTGATGGATAATTACGAGTTTAATTTGGTTTATTTTTCACCAATGGTCAATGTTCCCACGATTCGGTCCGAGCACGACCGATTATTACGCAATCCATCTTGATGATCTCGAAGCTGTGCGCCTATTGAATCTTTCAATCTGTTGAGCAACACTCTTGAAAACCTTTCCTGGTAACGATTGT